GTTTTTAACTAGTAACATTTGGAGTCATTTGTTACGCAGCAAAAGGTAACTAATGTATCAAGATCTAATGTAATACAATGCAAGTTCCCCAGGTCAATGATTTGAGGCGGGAACCCATTTTACAGAAAGGCAAACTGAGGCACAGAAAGAGGAGTTGCTCTAATCACCCTACTAGCAAGCATAGGTGGTTCTGAATCCCAAGCCCTTGCTCCTACTATGGCAGGTGCTGGGCTGGGCCAGCCTGGCTTTTTTATTCCGTCTTATTTAATCCTCCCTGAGAGTGAGGCGGAGGAGATCATTCCAGAGAAAACCAACAGCCAACACTTGCAGGATGCCTACAAGTTAACAAGACACTAACGTCACACTTACCTGTGAGGCAGGCAGGGAAGAGTTCCTTTTCTTATGCCTCAGTTAGAGTCAGGCAAACTAAGGCTCAGAGGGAGCAAGGGCTTTGACCAAAGTTGAACTAACTCAGGAGTGGGGGGAGGGTGGCGTTTAGGCTTGAATCTTCCTACTCATCTCTTTCCAACCAATCAGGCTACTCCCGAACCTAATTAATGGGGGTGGGGGGGGAGGTATGTTTTCTGAAGCTGCAGAAGGACCTCCCCACACCCATTCCAGGAGTGTGTGTGTGTGTTCGGCCAGAAGGGGGGTATTCATTGGGGACCCTGGAAACTGCTCCATCCCTTCCATGCAAGGAAAAGGCAGGGAAAGCCCTCCCTCTCACCACCCTCTCCCTTTCTGTGAGATGCGCTCCCCTCCCCCTCCCTCCTCCCCGCCTCCCCCCAGGACAGAGAGGGCTCAGGAATGCTGCCCGCTCTGGGAGTCCCAGCCCTTTGGTCTTTTATCCTAAATGCATCACCAATTCTTTCCCTCCCAGCAAGTCAAGTAAGAACCTTTGGGCCACCCCTCCCAGTTCTAACTCTTCACTGGGGCTCTCCTCCCAGGGATTAGGCTGCAACTACTAACAGCTGAGCTCTTTTCTTGACAAAAGCAAACAAAATCGCCTTTGAAAACAGCAAGAGGGGTTGGAGTTAGAGCTGAGAGGGGACTTCCAAACGGATCCCTTGTAGCAGATGGTCAAGAGAAGCTGTGGGTGGTGTACTCTTTCTTGAAGATCCTGCTGGGGAGTATCTTTACCTGAGGAGCACTGGGGCTGGGGCTGGCAAAAATGTTTGGGACCATGACTGTTTGTGATGCGACTGGGGCGGAAAGCTACCGGACGTCCCTCTAAGAATCAGGAGAGACCAGATGACGTGACAAAGAGGGTTCCTGTCACCTGTTTCCTCTGAAGGAGAACAACTCTGCCACCTGTTTTAAGAGAGATCAGAGGAGGATGGCTGCCTTCTGAGTCAGTCAGGGAGCCTGAAGACCAACTGGACTTCAAAAGCAGAGTCCACGCAGGAGGTTGTGGCCAGTGTGTGAGTCAGCCCGGCCCTGGCTGCAGGGGGGGCTGGAATGTCTGCGGTGGTCCACAGGCCAGGGTGGGGGTGGGGGCAGTGACTCACCACCTGGAGCTGGAAGAGTCCTAAACCCCAAGGCTCTCCTGCTGTTCCAGTTCTCATTCCTGGGGCTTCAACTAAGAAGCCAGAGGGTATGAGAAGCAGGACCCTGGGTTCTCTTGCAACAGTCCTGCCATCACCCCTTCCTGCACACATTCCTGACTCCGGGAACTCCTTGGGCAGCCCCACCCCCACCCCCCAACTCGCTCTAACTGCCTGGGCCCTCAGCCTTCGTATCTGGGCTTTGGGCTGGTTGGAGGGGGTCCTCTCTGACCCCTCACATCCTGGAAATAGACTGGGGCTCTGCCACCTCCTGAGCTTCCCCTCCCCACCCCGCCCACACTGCACTGAATTCTGCACACCGGGGCCGCAGGGCGCGTCTCTCACTGTGGCATGAATGGACTGGCCAAGTTGCCAGTGGGGTTTATTGAACGAATTTGATCAAGTCCAGAAGGCCCTTTTCATCCCCAAAAACTTGTCAAGGCTGCATTTGCCATTCCCTGGCCTCCCAATATGCCCTGGGGGTGGGGGGAGCTCCCCTGGGAGTTTGGCATTTTCTCTGATCTCCTCCCCAGGTCCTCCCCACATCCCTCTCCCCACAAGGGCCCAGGCCACATTCTCCCTAGTCTGTCCACTGCACTGCATGGCATGAGAGCCAGAGATCAAAGGAGACAGGGAGGGGGGCTGCAGAAAGGTCTCCTCCAAGAGGGGGTAGGTGGGGACTGAAAGCACAACTGGGCCCTGGTCAGTGTGGCTCTGTCGGTTGGAGCGTCATTCCCTGATCCGACGGGTTGCGGGTTCGATCCCCCAGTTGGGACCCATATGGGAGGCAAACCAATCGATGCTTCTCTCTCACATTGATGTCTCTCTCTCTCTCTCCCTTTTCCTTTCCTCTCTCTAAAATCAATAAAAAGCATATCCTTGGGTGAGGATTAAAAAAAAAAAAAAGCACAACTGGCCTGAGCAGCCCACCCCCCAAAAACAAATCCACAGCAAACGAGGCGGGGCTCGCGGCTGCCAGGACCCATCACAGTACCTTCCTGACTCTGGTTTGGGCATCAAACTAGGAAGCGTTGCCCACCCTTCTTGGATATCCTCTGCCTCTGGGGTCTTGACACAAACCCCTTCAGTGTGTGTTCAACAGGAAGCAGGATCACAAGCAGCCCCCACATAACCTCTGGAGGCCGAGTCTGAATGGACGTCTCGTCTCTGCCCGTGGGTCGCTGGGAGACGGGGTTGGGAGAGCTTGCCCAGAGCGCAGTTCCTCTCGGTGGTGGGAGATGGGTGGTGGGCGGCCAAGGTTTCTGGGAAGCAGAGGTGAGTGGCCCTCCCGGCCCAGTTACCTCTCATCCCACACAAGCACTTAACCTCACGCTGAAGCTGCCCCAGGCAGGGGCGTTCACCTGGAAAGAAAGTGGCCTTTACGAGGCCCTGGAGCTACCAGGCAGAGCAGGGGCTCAGTGGTGACGGCTCCCAGTACCCACGGCCAGTGGAGAAGGGAGAGCCAGGAAAGAAGGCTTTGGGGACCTACCCACAATGCAGTCTGAGTTCTGGGCTGGCTAGGCTGAGCCCCTGTGGACAGAGCCATGCGCCAAGGACTTGGAGAGAGGCAGAGGGAGCACCCCCGCGAGTCTTCGGTCTGAGGGGCAGACCCAGCCTCAGCCTCAGGATGCCTCTGGAGGACCGAGAAGGTGCAGCCCCTGCGCACACACCTGGTTCACACCCCTGTGCTCAGAGAGCCCCCTGTCTGTCAGGGAGACCAGCCCCAGGCCTGGAGAGCCCTCCCGTCTGAAGGATCGGCTCAGCATGGCCTTAGGGTCCCCAGTCTGACGGCAGAGACAGGACCACAGACTTCTCTTGGATAGGAGATAGGGCATTTGAAGAGACAGGATTAGATCTCAAAAACCTTTATAGATAATAGAGTTGTAGCTGCTCCATCTCCCTCTAAGTTCCCACGGGGTAAGTGGGCCTCCTTCGCTGCTCTCCCCTGCCCCCAAGAAGAAAGCCAGCTTGAGTGTAAGTGCTCAGCTCCCCCAGCTCCACCAGGGAACCTCCATCCTTCCCATTCCCTCCGTCCACTGCCCTCATGTCCCAGTCTCCCCCCAGCCAGCTGGGACACCCTCCTACGTATCGCAACGGGGACACTGCCACATGGCCAACGCTATAGGCCACTAGCCAGAGCTGGGGTTCAAATGGCTGCACCCCACCCTCTCCCACCAGAAGTAGCCTATTGCCTTTGAGTGTCTTCCTTCCCCAGCTAGTGCACCCTCCCCAAGTCTGCCCTCCCTGAGGGCACCCTTTCTGACTGAGGACACCAGCAAAAGAAATGGGGGGTGTAGGGGTGGTAGAAGAATACTGGGCCCTGGGCCCAAAACGGGGGGAGGGGGAAGTACAAAGGGGGGCACTTAAGGCACCTACCCGTGGGCAGGCTCCAGACAGCGCTGGATATACCCAAATGTTAATCACCAATTAGCACAGTTCAGGTGGAAAGGGAACCTTATTGCGTGTAAATGGACTTATTGTGGCAGGAGCTGTGGGCTTTAATTTCTTGAGATAAGA